CTGACTTAGCCAAGCAATAAATACGTTTCATCATTCTGTAGGATCATTTAATGTACTTTTGTTGTGGTTGTGCACGTACAAGGGCATTTTTGTAAATCACCCTCCAAGGGGTCAAGAATTAAATATTTCGTACTCCATATGCATTTATCATTGTTTACTAAACTGTCTTCCCAACCATTCTGATTGTCTTAGAAAAGGGGATTGATGATTGATAGCCAACCCCGTTCCCAATTCATGATGCTATGTTTTACTCGATCACGGGTATCTTTGCATCAGCTAACATCCTTTTTCCATAGGAGTCTAACCTCATCATTTGGCAGGGCCAACTGTCAAGGCAACTGTTCACATTATGCCAATGTGGATGACTTAATGCCAAGGCCTTGAAGATGGTGACAAGGGGAGGGAACATTTCAAACTATCCCGTGCTGAGGCAACACTCTATGGCCAATCATGCTGAGAAGATGTGTCACTCAGGGAATGCTCCGAAAGCATACGTGCTGAGAACACATGTCACTCAAGGGATGCTTCGAGGGCATACATGCGTAGGACATGTGTCACTCAGGGGACACTCCGAGCCAAAAATGTTAAGGACAAGTGTTGCTTTTCCATAAAACTAAAAAAACGTCCCATCAGCCTTTTTGAAATTTAACACGCAAATTTCCTGTTTCCTGTTAAACAATTATCTACCCTAAAAATTTAAGCTGTTAGAAAGGGCCTAACTTAAGTATTTATAGTTCAACACACTCCCTCACGTGCATGTTAAATAATACTTAACACACCCCTTTATGTGTAGACTAGATTTTGGGTCTAGGAAGTGAAATCTTTTTCATAATTAGGGTCGCTGCAAGATTTAAACATAGAATCTTCTACTCTGATATCATGTTATACATTTATTTACTTCAAAAAAGAGTGTAACTTTAATATTTATACTTCAACATTGCCGGCGTCCTTCTCCGGTCCAGCTTTACGGGTAAAGCACCAAGCATATATACCAAAACCGCCCGAAGTAAGGTAAGACAAGTGGACCAAACTCTGATAAATTTGTTCCTAAAGCATTGCCTGCAACTTTTAGCAGTGCTCTTGATAGTGATACAACTAAATGCCTAGATTCATCATTTTCTTTGTAGGCTGACTGGTACGATTCATCGTCCGATTCCACGTGAGTTCAGATAAGGTGTTTGATCGAGTTTGTACTTAACGGTCTGTCTGGGCCGACCCGACAAAAGATGTGACCCTAAGCGAAAATTATAAATGAGACCCTTTAAAAATTTGTTATAACTATTTTAACATACGATTAAATTTCATTTAAAATTTGTTATTCTCACTTTTTGTGATGTAAAATTAGTGATTAATTTTTTATATTCACATTTTGTTATCATATCTTATTCAAGTTTTATGCTTTTAATATTTGGATTCATATTTTTAAAATTGACATATTCAAAACCCAAAATTCTTGGAAACAAAACAAAGGGTTAAAATAATAAATGGTTATACTAAGAGAAGGTTTAATAAAAATGGAACAATAAGACATGATAAATAGAGATTGTATAAATTGAATCTTTATTCATCTTTTAAATTTTTTAAAAAAATAGTTGACTTAAATAATTATATTATAAAATATAAAAATTAATTTATTGATGTTTATATGTGTATACGGATCATGGGAAAAAAAGAGATTTTTTTAGTAATATACGTAATCAATTTTTTTTAATGTAGACTAGTTAGTGTGTGTGTGTGTGAGAGAGAGAGAGAAAGAGAGAGAGTTATTTGTAGACTTTAGTTATAGAAAAATACTATTTCGACATAATTTGAGAACCTAATTGAGTGACTTAATGGTACATTACCATTGGATTGATGGTGAGCTCTATCTAATATTAAAACTCATAATTAATCTAGTGATTACATTGAAATTACATCATTAGATTCTCAGATTAAGTCCTCAAATAAGGTCTTTGTGACATTCCTCTTAATTATATTGCGACATTTGATATTTTAGTGATTTAACCATTAGAGCATCTCCAACAATATTATCTAAAATAACTATTCAAAATATATTTAAATATTGTATTATCTACTTTAACTAACCATTTTTTCAAATTCATTCTAACAATGTTATCTATTTTAGCTAACCACTTCAACTAACTTTAACTAATTTTTAATAATAAAATTTAAAAAATAGCAATTCAACTATACATTGTATAAATTTAATCAATTATAGGCTATAAGAGAGAACTCACCTCCCGAAAATTACTATTCCCAAACCAAATTCTCTCAAATTAAATCATAAAATCACCTCAAATTACACAAATAACCGAAGTCAAATTTTTGGGGGAAGTTTACTAGATTTTGGGGAGGGGGGTTTTGTTGAATTTTTTGGGGGTGTTGATAAATTTTTGGGGGAGTATTGGATTTTTGGGGGGTTTTATTGGATGTAGCTAGTAAAAAGTGGCTAGCTAGATGTAGCTAGTGAAAATTGGGTTATGAAAAATAGAAAGGGGAATAATTAGTCGGTTAGAGTCACATTTTAAAAAGAAATTATCTAAAATAATTAAAAAATAGAGTTTTGGTTAGCTTTTTGAAGTTGCTTTTAGGAAGAAATAGGAAGAAATTGTTGGGCCTCTCACTTTTAATTGGACTTTTTCTAAGAAAGTACATATGATGATGTCTTTTGAATATAAAAATTTTTTTTGGGCGTACCTGAATAATAACATCGCAGCTCTCCCATTCGGAATAACGCGTTAGCCAGAAGCATGGACTAGGCATTACCATTACACCCATTGGGCGTTATAGCTTCCATACTGACAACCAAGGCTATGGAGTTTTTATGAACTTTCAGAAGCTTTTTAGCCAAGCTTACGGACAAGAGTCCTGCACAACAACCCATTCCACCGAGGCTAAAACTCTTTAAATCGCTTCGGAATCCGAACTTGTTAATGATCATGTCTGTAATGGATGGTGTAGGGCAGAAGATGCAGCAATTAGACACAAGGATGTCAATCTTTTGGGGGCTTATTTTGTGTTTGGTAAGACGATCTTGCACAATTGTGAAGAGAACTGTTCCAGTTTCTTGTCAAGTTGGGTTCTATTATAAACCCAGGGGTAGAACTGACTCTTAAAAATCGACCTATAAGGAAAATGTGTCCACAAATTTATATACACATAGTTTTATTTTTAACCAATGTAAAATTGTAATATTAAACATATGTCGATCCTACGTCGATTAAAAATAAGATTAGATATGTGTATATAAGTTCATAAACACCCTTTTTTTTGCAAGCCGAGTTAACAAAGGGTAAGTTATACCTATGAGTTCACGTAATGTGAGCTACAACTTTTTGTGGTCGAGTCATGGAAGGGGCGACGTAGGCTAGATTAAGATAGTTTGGTATTATGTATGGAGATTCATTAATTACTGATAAGTGAGTGAAGTCATCAAAGAGAAATGATTACTATTAAGTCAGTGTCGATAGAGTAGGTCATCATGGACGTCGACCACGAAAGCGTGGTGAAATATTATGATCCCACGTGGTTAAAAATAAGATTAAATGTATATATATAAATTCTTGGACACCCTTCTTATGCAAGCCAATTTTCAGGGCAAGTTCTAGCTATTGGTTTATAACAAGTTCATAGAGTCATCAGGGGATTTCGTGCACAGCCGGTGGAACGCAAGCCTCGCCTCCGATACCAGACCTTTCGCCAACCTTTGTCTGGAAATCAATGACTTCTCTCTCGTGGACATCACATATTTCGAAGTGATGAAATTGGATACTGGGACTCGCAAGTGATCGGTTGGTTGATAACAAGAGAAATAAACTAGATAAACAGGATTAGATCTGAGAGAAATATAATACACTACTATGATCAAAGCTGTTGCTGCTAAGAGATGGAAGTAAGTGAATGGTACTGGGGGATCTGCAATGAGGGATATGACCATGAGGAAGAAACCTTTGGATGACATGACCACCATTTTCTAACAGGCTTGGTGCATTATCGAGTCTGTTTTGATGTTTGCTTAGTTGTATATGCCAAAGAAAGAGACAGGTTTACCAGTGATTTTGATGTTCTTTTTATTCTAAATCAACAAGCAAGATAAGTTTCACCATGCTCTCTCTCTCTCTCTCTCTCTCTCTAAATGGAGAATCAGCTTGTATTGGATAAGAAAATATGGAGGCCTTGTATGTTGACCAATATGCCAAAATTATAATTTCCTTCCTTGTGATTTCTACCTCATCCTCTCCAACCACATTTGTTAGTCACAGAAATTGCATGGGCAACCTCATTAGTCATTCCCCTAAGCAACTTGCGTCCAACATGCGGACACTTAACCCACTTGTGTTGATTCAGTTGCCGAACAAGAGCAAGGCGTAAATCCATATGTCCAAAGTTTTTCGTCATCCTGGCAATATAAACCCAGATTTCAACCGATGCATGTGATTTGGGGATGACTATGTGTGTCTGAGCATTGCGTCGAGTCCAAAAGACTGGGAAGATTTCCCTTACGAGCAAAGAAACAAATTTGGAATGTCTTGTAAATTGACTGTGATAAGGAGCTTTAACCAAAGGAAATTGAACAAGCACCAGAACAAGGTGTGCTGATGAAATTGGTAGAACTACAGTCTATTCTATTCCATCATCGCAACAAAGCTCGGGTTTCACTCATTTGCTGGCACTATGTTGATCATTCACAGCATGACAATAGATAGCATATGGCATTACATTTATTCAAGCATGGCGGAGCCAAACAGCAAGAAAAACAGGCATCAGGCACCCCTCGGTCTGTAGATTTATTCGTTCCCTCTGCTTTTGTTTTGTCTATTTTAAGTGTCCAAGCCTTTGTTTAGCCATTCCAGATCGAAGCAATCACTTCCATTTTGTTTCTACTTTTAGGTGCCATTTAGTTTCCAAACATTCATCAATTAGAACACACACTGAACATTCAAAGGAAGCAGAATGTGGAAAATGAAGATCAGTTTATTCTGATTTGTTTTTAGTTACAATCTTTCAAGACATGTTCTGATCTGCATAGGTAGTTATTTTTGTCTACTTGCACAGAATTTTATTCACACTCACAGTTTATCTATTTACCTTATTACAAGGACGGTTGACAATCCTTCTTCTAGATTTCAGTACTTGGCGATTGCAAATTTATCACCCCGAGCCACAGCTAAGACCTGCAACAGTTTTACTCACGCATTAGACTATGGAAACAGAAGTACATTCCTAAAATTGCAAAAAGATTAGAAAAAACTGAGAAGGTAAAACATCTTTATTGTTCCATGTACATGTGAACCATTGCCCTAACTTCTTCATTGCCCAGTCAAGTCTCATGAAAAGGTGAACCCTCCTTTTGTGACGCTGTTTAAATGTCCAGTGGAAGTTGATGGAACCAACTATAGTTTACACAATATTTGGACTGATTTCAAGAGGTTTAAAGATACACACTGATGAAATTGCCTCTCCTACCTCCCTCAGCTCCATCCTTTTTGATTTGTTTTTCCCCCTAAGAGTACTTGCTTAGCTACAGCATGGTGGGCTACCTGCTTGTCTTTTCAAATGCAGGCAACACAATAAGCCTCAGACTAACTCAAAATGCTTCTGACACCGAAACGACCCACAGGTAGTACTGCTCATTTGGTAATCAAGCATTGGAAATTGATCTCACATGTTATCAGAAACTCAGTAAGCAGGCATATAGACGGAAGTAAATCATACCTCACTCATGGAAAATCTGTGGCATGAGTCATTTTTCAGACATAGCAGTGCAGCTTGTGCAATATGATCAACCACCCTGATATCGCTTGTGTCCTCTATTCTTGGATCCATCACCTGGTCCAGTGAACCATTTTCCAGAAAGGGCAATGCCTGTGTCAGAGATCAATGAAGTAAGGTTTAGGAACAGAACATGATTTTGTATTTTATTCCTTACTTAATTTAACATTAGAAGCTCTTGTGCTGCATAATATTTTGCTGAATAGGCAGCAACTTTATAGTTGAAGCAGGGACACCAGAATCACCCCTTCATATCCCATATGCAGAATTTCATTTGTAAAAAATGTGAAACTGCAAATACCATGACCATGTTATTTTTACGGCAAATCATTGATTACTTCCCTACACGTTACCTCCCTATATTTTAAAAACACATGACTTCATGTCGTTTTGGAAGTGTAACCATTACATTTTCCATCTAAACTACCAGAATGTGTAAACATAACTCATTTACCCTGCATCCAAACATTATTCATTCTTTACGTGAACAAAGATAACCATCAATCCTTATAGAACAAAGTTATACCTCTACCTCAACAACTCTCTTCCACATATACTCTCTCTTTTGCTCTCTCTAACCCACATTGCACACACACACAAAGCATCCAGTAGCTCTTTTGCATCAACAACTCTCTCTCTATGTATATGTACACACACAAACACATATTGTACGCACAAGAAAGCCAAAAGCATAACAGACAGAGTCAATTAAATTTTGGTTTGGCTAAGAAAATCAAACGAGTTGGTGATATTCCTTCGGTTCAAGGTCGTTTAAAGTTGGTTTTGGTCCTACTATCTGGAGAGAACCTAGAGAGTTTTAGACATGGTTCTGCCTTCATTTCTAATTCTCTCTCTAGTTAAATTAATATCTGGTTAGAACCCATGTATGGATCAATGATTCCATGCAATATATGGATAACAAAAATATGGTCTGAAGATGAAGGATGAAAGAATGGGATCAAACTTAGGTATACAGAACCACAGTGTGAAAGACAATAGAGGTGAAATGGAAAAAATGGATAATCCCTGAACTGGATCTAAGTAGAGGTACTTTCCATCATTTAAAACTTTAAAATTGGGAGGGAAACAGTTTATTTGCATGCATATGCCATCAGTTTGGATAGAAAATGTAACAATTTCACTTTGGTCCAAAACAATAGGAAGATAACATGCTTGCCAGTCAAACCACAGAGAGGTGATTCATAATTTGCCCTTATTTTTTCAAACTATTTCACTTTAGATATTCAAATGATGTCTAACTTATACATTTACCAGAAAGTAATTTACATGAATGTAATTTATATTTGTTCAGTGTTAATGATCAGTCAGAAATTTCCTGGATTTGCTTCCCAATGCTTTTCTAGTGATTGTATGTGATACTGACCAAAACATCTTACCCAGTCAACTAAGGATTGACCCTCGCCCTGCTCTTGAAATGTCTGTGCACTCTTTCCAGTTATGAGCTCTATGAGGAACATCCCATAACCGCATAAATCAGCCAGAAGGCGTTCGTCTTCCTCTATAGTTGGGCATGTGCACCTTTCAAGACTTATGAAAAAAAAAAAGGAAATTTAATGCATGTAGCTCATTGGGATTCAATCAAAAGTATCATCGAATAAAATAACAAAAAAAATTGAATTCTTACTCTGCTGGTGAATCTTCATTACATGGTAGATCACCCTTAAGCCACTTGGCTCTCTTGAACATGCTAAGCTTGAATAACAAGCAAAAAAAACAAGTATTAATTTTAAAGCTCAAGTTTTTCTCATGAATCTGAGGAGCATTAAATAGCAGGAAATCCAGACAGCCACAATCTAAAACAAATTCCAGCTGAGGTCATGGTTGTTAAACAGTGTAGGAATGGTGGGTATAAAGTTGTCAGAACATAGGCAAAACTGATGAATTTTAGTTCTAGTGGACATCTCAATGTCTTTGTTCTATCCTTTTTTACAAAAATTTGTTACTGCAAATTAACGCTGAGGTATGAAATTAGACACACCATTGCTGTGGAACTGTGAGAAAATACAACTGCAGACGAACATATAGAAAGGTCTATGATAGGTCCATCAGCACAATCCTCTCGCAGATAGCGTAGGCCTGCACCTATTTCTAGAGCAATATACCACCTTGTTTTCCACAAAAGGTTCTTAGCCAACTCATTACCTACAAATTTGTAGAGCTCAATATTATGATTAAATTGTCTCCAGAATTGGAGTTGTAACAGAAAAAAAACTGAAAGGGGAAAGAGAACGAAGTTTAAACTCTGTGCCTTGGTCACCTCTGTTAGTAATCAATACTGACCAAGATCTCCCGCCTGTTAGCTAGAGAAAATTGCGATTTACAACGGTGACAATTATGACAATCTAGGGCAGAAGACAGCATAAGAAGAGCAGATAAAGACAGAGAGATAAATTTATAGTAGATAACAATTGTTTTAGAAATGCATTTTGGCCAAAGAACATAAAAAAGAATACTTTTTTTCTGATAATAATAGAGATAAGAGAACATATTGATATTGATCGCAAGTTCAACCACTAAAGGAGTTATTCTTACATTGCAAGTTCATTTCAAGAGTACCATTGCAAGGATAGTCGCATAGCAGGAACAAAGAATCAGCCGTGCAGCAGTACCCCACTAGATTCACAATATTGCGATGGCGTACACAGGAGAGGACCTTGAGTAATGACCAGAAGCGATCATCATCTCCAGAAAAAAGCCTGATTAAAATTGGTGTTTCCTGATATATTCCTTCATAAAGTTTCATGCCATCCTCCTCTAGGATCAGATTCTCAGTGCCAAAGCCATTTGCTGCCATCTCAAGCTCAATAAGAGAGAAAGCTCGAGGGAATCCATGTCTCGATGAAAGCGGGCGCCAACATGAACTTTGAGGAGTTGGTGGTGCAGGTATCAATACGCTCTTGTCCTCGTCAGTATCAGAACCTTCATCTTGCATTTCCTCGGGTTCGTTTTCTGTTGATGCTATATCATTAATTTCTTCACTTTCTGTGCACCATCGTTCACACTCAGGAGTTTTGATGGCATTAAGGTAGCAACACCTTTCTCCTTCATTATTGCAACATCACAGCCTACATGCCCATCTATATACACTTTATGTTTCTTCAAGCGCCTGCCAATTACAAACAAATGATAGAGTTTCAATATTAGGGACCATTTGAAAACCAAATGCCTGTCTCCTGAGTTCAAGAAAAGAGCTATGAATCACCTGTCTAAAACGATCCAGCGGGGATTAAAACTTAGTGCTTCTTCAATAGTAATATTCCTGGGATCATATCCTGCGGCAAGTTTGGCTTCCAACTTCACCTGCACAATGAAATTCTTTATCTTCCAAATGTTCTTGTATTCACAGTTTAAGTTTAGCCACCAACCTCCCTCTTCTTGCACCGTTGGTAAAATGGCTGGAGAGTAGATTGATATTCTTCCCTTTTATTCTCAATCTCTTCTTCAAGTTCTTGGGGGCTCATTTCCCCATGTCCAGAGAACTCTAATCTTACCCCTGAAGGAATTGCAGTTACAGCAGAAAGCAATTAGGTGCCTATTGGTTATAGTTCTCAGCATACTGAAGGTATACAGATGAAAAGTTCAGTTGGGGAATTGCATGTGGCGAAGTATAATCAGTCCAAGATTTTGATGGTCCACCAAAAAAAGAATATTTGATATTTCATTCCAATAATGAACATTGCACACAACATTTACACTAGAGACTGTAAAAATCATTAACAATTAATAGGAAAGTAAATTTCAAAATTAACTAGTGTTGGTCTCTGTAGTTCTCCACAACATAAGGGCAGAAGGTGAAATTATTAGTGGGAAGAACAGATCTCTCAATGGGAATGGATCCTTCGCCACAAAAAGCTGAAAACTGATTGAAAGCAAGACTCGAATCTCCATACTGAATTGCTAACAAGGACTAATTGACCAGCTACACATCTATGTCAAAATATATGGTATAACATATGCATATGTCTTAGAACATCCTTGAAATGAATTACATATACCTTGTGCACAGATTATGAATTTTGCTATCCCCAAATAGAAGATTTGCCTGACAGTATGATTAATGCCTTTGGGTACCTCTAAGCCACAACAGTGACAACGTGAAATGTTGCATTGGAGACCACCCTCCTGTTATCTTTCTATGCCTAAAGCCAACCTATACTTTGCTGTCCAAATCTGTGTCCCTCTGTCTTGAGGACTCAACTTTTGCGTTAGAAAAAATTATTGATTACTAACATCAATATAACTAACTGGTAAACAAAGCAAAACCCGAGAAAGCGTCTGTCTAATCATAAATTAAACAAAACCAAAAACTTCAGTCTCAATCATGTTCTAGGGGCCTCAGTTTTTGAAAGCACACTCTAGAGTTTATGAAATATCACCCTCACTTCCTGTCAGGTTTGTCTTTGAAGGAATAGATGGAAGTTATAGTTTTACACAATTACCCTTAACATAAAACTATTTTTACTCATTTATCCTCAATTATTGCGCAATTCCATTTTTACTCTAGAGTTTATGAAATATCACCTCACTTCCTGTCAGGTTTGTCTTTGAAGGAATAGATGGAAGTTATAGTTTTACACAATTACCCTTAACATAAAACTATTTTTACTCATTTATCCTCAATTATTGCGCAATTCCATTTTTACTCTCTCTCACGCACAACCATCCAACAAAATTGCTAAATTTCATCAATTTCAAAATTAATTTCACTCAATTATCATATATTTCATCAAATTGACATTCAATTTTATCAATTTAAAATCTAATTTCATCAAATTACACCATATACTTTATTTTTGAATTTCATCAAATTACATCAATGCACATTCAAAGTCATCAAATTAAACTTGAATTTCATCACATTAATACTAAATTAAATTTAACTTCAATTGATGAAATTTGGGTTATGCGTGTGGTGGTAGGGGAGGCTAACACTGAATTAACATTAAATTTCATTAATTTAAAATTTAATTATTTAAAAATTGATATCAATTCCATCATATTTATATGTAATTCAATCAAATGAACATTCAATTTCGTCAATTTAACATTCAATTCTATTAAATTAACAATCAAATTTTATCTTATTAAAATTCACTTTTATCAAATTTACATTCAGTTTAATCAAATGAACCTTCAATTTCATCCATTTAATTTTCAGTTTTATCAAATTAACATTCAATTTTATCCAATGAACATTAAAGTATTAAATTAACATTAAATTTCATCAATTTCAAATTAAGTTTTACCAATTTGACACTAAATTTCATCCAATTGACATTCAATTATCATATTAATACTCAATTTTATAAAATTGACACCGAATTAACCTCTAAATTCAAATTAACTTTCATTTTCTTTAATTTAAAATTCAATTTTATCAAAGTTAACACTCAATTAATGAATATGTTAGTGTGTATACATATACCAGTGTGTTTTGATAACAAAATTCAATTGATTTTGATTTTATTTTGAAATTGGAATTGTGGGTTGTGCTAATTTTTCCCGAGAGGCCAAGTTGTATATATATATATATATATATATATATATATATATACAGAGAGAGAGAGAGAGAGAGAGAGAGAGGAGGAAGAATGCATAGTTGTGTTGTGTGTTGAGCTGATGGCTTTTGGGTATATGAGTTTGGGATGCAGGCTTAGGTGAGCGGAATTAAGAACCCAAGGAAGACAAACAAAATAAGGGTGAAAACATAATAATTACGGAGATTCCATGAAGAGCTCAAATCTCAACAAATGGGTAAATACAAGCAATTTGGACACACATACTAGAATATTAGAGGCAACTATATCAAAAAAATCAATCGGAACTAAGAATTAAAATTTCATTTATTTTATACCGAAACAACTAAAATATTTTTGTTTCCATGAAAAATTGAAACAAATTAGTGTTTGAATATAAAAATTTCCATGTTTCGAACCGTTTCAATGTATTTTTGATATATGTTGACTAATATTTGAAAATTAATTTATTTTAATTTACATTTCAAATATAAATAAGGAAAAAATATATTTTGACCTTCTAAACTATGAACTATGTTTCATTAGAAGTACCAAACGTGTCGGGTTGAGTCATTTCGTGTTGGGTTGATTTTGAATTTGTGTCAAAAATTTCAAAACCCAAATCTAACATGTTTAATAATCGTGTCGAGATTTATAAACATAAACCTATTTAACACACATAACCTGTTTCCACACTTGTTCATTAACATCAAATACACCATTCAATCATTCATCTAAAATTTCAAATAATTTTTTCACAAATAACATATCACATATTATAATGAAATTAACTAAAATGCATTCAAGTTTCAACCCAAAAAATAAAATAAGAACTATACTAATATACTGTCATAATAATGTTAAGGATTATTCTGTCAATTATCATAATAAAAGCAAGAACTAACAAATAATAATGTTAAGACCATATCAATCAGACATAATAGACAAACTATACTGTCATAAACAGGTTAAACATGTCTATAAGGAGTTAGGTCGAGTTCGTGTCCAAATTATGTCAACCTGTTTAAAATACACGGGTTAATCAGGTCAAATCGAGTTGACTTAATTTTGACATGAGCCCAACATACTTTTTTTTTTGCTTAAGTGTGTTGCCCATTTTAATCATTGATTCCTTTAATTTTGTGTCCAACCCATTTTTTCGTATTCAATTCTTGTCGTATTAAAAATCGACAGCCTGTGTTTCATTGTCCCTCAAACTATTGATTTTTTTCTTATTGGTCCCCAATGACTTGAATTAGTTCACATTTCCCCAAATACAAATGATTTTCTTTTTAGTAAAAAATTGTAATGTTTCGGGGTAAATGAAAAAATATCACATAATTCAGAGAGCAAAATAAAATAACTTTCTGTCAGATCTATACCAGATGTTATTTAATTTAGGTGATGAAACTAATCATATATGCAATAAAAAAAAATATGATAGTTTAGAAGATAATTTGAAAAAAAGGTCATAGTTGAGGCAGTCAAAGTGTAATTTGTCCTATAAAGTATAAATCATAAGAAAGATCGCAGTTAAAAAAAGGGGGTGGAAAAACATACAAATTCTGGAGAATCCAATGAACGGAAAACATGAAGAAGAAGTCTTCTTTCCGACCGCCGACAACACCGCAAGAACAACAATCGTGTCTTTTCGGCGGACGTGTTTGATAGCCCAATCAAGTGCGTCGACGCTTACTTTGCTGCGATTCGCGTCCATCACAACCATTACACTCTTCCCTTGTGATGGGAGGGAGACATCTGAACCGAACACCATTCTTTTCTCTCTCTCTCCTCCTTTGATCTCTTCTGGGTGGTTTTCTTGAAAGATGACGGTAATTCATAGAATGGAGATGAAAAAGAAGAGAATGGGTTTTAGATAAGGGAATGTATGGGGTTTTAGGGGAATCTTTGGCCATAGTTGGGTCCGCCATGAACGAGGGTTTCAAGGTGGGTCTCTTGTTGATTTTACTGGAAAATATGGGGAGCCTTCGCTTTCGGTTCCGTAGTTCTTAACGGTTGGTGTTTTCCGGGGGGTTTTGTACAAGAGGGGTCGTAATCATTCCGTTTAAAATTTAACGCTACGTCTATATAGAGATCAAAATCACATGAATTGAATATTTTAAAAATTAAAATTAATAAAATTAATATAAGAAATATTAAATTAATAAAAAAATATATTTTAACGATCAAAAGTACTATTAATCCTACAATTAAAAAGTGAATTATAGAATCATAATCTTTAATTCGATCATAATCATAATTTGTATTATATACAAGTTGATTTTAATATATAAGAATAATATGTCTTATCTCTATTATTGAACCGATTTTTAATACCATATGTTGGTTGTATTATAATTAAATTTAATTGTATTCACTTATAAATTTATTATTTTAATCACAAAATAAATAAGAAACATGAATAACTAGATTAGATGGACCAATAATTATTTACTACTCTATTATCCCAATTTTAATCAAATGTCTTACCAAACACTAAATTATATAGAAAGTATTTTTATCCCATATTTAATCTTATATTTTTCTCGCGAATGCAAAATTAGCCAGTATTATTTAATATAATCCATTTTTGATAATACAATAACCAAATAAGCCCAAAAGGTTTCTTTTTATAGTAGAAGCATTTTTTATCCTTATTTAAATTCTTATTCAAATTTAAATTTGAATAAAAATAAGTTAAAAACAACTTTTCCATCTTTTACTCAAATTTTTATTCAAATCAAAGAGAAACTCATACCTTGGTCTTATTTTTTCCTCATTTAAAAATTCAATCATATTTTATTTTACTTTAAATTTGGGTTTATCCTCTCAAAATTTTGAGTTTGTACATTTGAGTGTTGTGTGTTAAATATAGGTAAAAATTTAAATTAATGGTGGAGATGGCCGTAAAGGCAAGATTTTTCATCCATTTTTTTGTACTAAAAAAAAGTTGAGATTAGTATTAAAATGGTATTAAAAAAAAAGTTGAGATTAGTATGAAAGCCAAAATATTGGGGTCAGTCTTAAATTATTTTATTTTATTACTAGTGTGAATCCTGCTTTGCAGTTGCACGCTAGTTAAAGTCCATATTTGTCAGATTATGTTTTTAAAACTAATGTAAATACCTTCGAATATAAAGCTATAGATTATTTGAAATGCACTTAATAATATATATAATAAAAAAAGACCTTCAGATGTGTTTTTTTTTTTTTATATTGAGATTAATGCAAGTGTAAATTGATAAATTCAGAGGTAGTTCAACAACATTTGAGGTTTAAAGTAATGACGGGTCAATGATACTTTTATATTTTTTTTAATAATAATTTAATTTTTCAATTTAAAATCTATTATTTTTATTTTTTGATGAGATTTAAAATTGCTAATTTTTTTATTTAAATTTTGCTAATATATTTTTTTAATTAATAATATGACTTTTGATCATATATATTTATAGGAACAAAATTAATTTTTTCATTAATATTTTTATGTTCTTTTTATTTATTTTATATGTTCTTTAACAAAACTGTGGAATTAGATGATTAATTTTATTATAAACAAATTCATCGTTATCTTTCTTTTGGATTATTTTTACTATCTTTAAATTTTATTTATTTATCCATGCAACTTTCACCTAAATTTTTGTTATATTTTATTTGTTACGAATAAGAATTTTATCAAAATATTGTTTTTAATGAAAATGAATGGTTTAATTGGTGTTTTGCGTTCAAATAAAAAAAAAAGTTTAAAAGAAGTAAATAATGTGTTTAGTTTGATTTTTTTTTTTTTTTGTGATTAAAAAGAGATGTTTATTACACTTCTTTCAATTGAAGAAAGAAATAGATTTGGTCAACATTTTATTTTATTAATCTTTTTTGTTCTTTAATAAATGTGATTGTACGAGGAGACCTTAACTTTTGGACCCAAATTTTTAATTTTTTTTTTTGGTTTACTATTTCAAAAACTAATTTGTTAGGCAATATTGTAGAAAATTTTATTTTTTAACTTATATTATATTATATTATTGATTTTTAATTTTGAGGCTTTTTTCGTATCACCACATGAATATTAATTCAAAAGAAAAACATAACAAGCGCTGCCTTGGCGAGTTTTCATTGAGATTGAAGCACAATCTTAATCACAATAACCAACCAGAAAATGTATTGTTTATATATTTCTTTTATGACACTTACAAACTATAAAAAATGTATCATAGTTGGTTTAAAGCTAATGATGTTCAATAATATTCTCAAAGTTTTAGTCCAAGTGCTTTACCTGCTCAGCCATAGAGTTGCACTCTATATTTGGTTGCTGAACCAATTTGTTTTCTTAGCTCTTTTCCCTAGTGGACCAAAGCGGGGGTGGGGTGTTATCTCCATCCCCGTACCCGCTTTAAAAAATTCTGTTCATTCTCGATTTACCCTCGTTAACAGGTATAGTTTTCATCTTCATCCGCGTTTGCTTGTAAATTTATAATTCCCACCCCCGCCGTTGTCGACGCCCCCGCCCCTCGCCTTCACCTCCGCCCCAACTCCTGTCCACCTTACCTACCCAAGCCCAAGCCCAAGTCCAAACTAATATAATCCAAAATTCTAAATAAATCTAACATTCTAAATAATTTAATATAATTATAGAATATCATAACATAATTAAAATTTTGTCTACAACATAATCTAACATAATATAATTAAAAATTTGTCTCACTTGTAAATTCAACACAATATCATGCAACATGACATAACGTAACATAACATAATCTAATATAAAAAAATATAAAAACACAAAGATTTATATTTTTACAAACCAAAACCATGAAAAAAAATCAAAAAATAAAACAATTTTCAAAAAAAAAAATCATTCAATAATATGTAGATTTATATTCACAGTAACATGTATACATATAAAATAATAATAATAAGATAAAGTGGGGCGGGGCGGGAATAAGTGTCACTCCATCCCCGCCTTCATCCCGGCACGGGTTTATACAGGTATTCCCGTATACGTCCACTGTCCAATACGTATGGTCCATCCTCAGTCGAAACAGGACAGGTTTGAATAAATACTTATTTTTTCCCGGTCCACTGCCATCCCTATATCCCAACCCCTCCCCCATCCACGGACACTAAATTTAAGACAGTGAACTCAACGTGTTTGGTTATATATTGTGGATGAAAGAAAATTTGAATTTTTTACTTCACTGTGTTTTAGTTTATTGTCATTGAATTTACTATCTTTTAGTTAATTATATTGTAGATGTAGCCAACAACAATTATGTAATATTCTTCCTGCCAACAATTACATGGTCCACATTGCACATGTCAGTTTTGCCTATCTCTAAGTCTTTTTTTTTATCTTTACATGTGCAAACAAAGAAAGAGATCGGTGTGAAACTGTGTTACCTCTCTCGGTATGAGAGTTCTCTCCCTAGATTAGGGTTTTTCTAAGATTTTATTCTCACTCTTCTTTTCCCGAGGCGGATCTTTTCGTCTTCTCAGCACTATTCATTCTTTATTCATGCTTTCAACCTACCTAACCTTCATTTACTTCCTCTAGATTGGAACAACCCACATTCTTACCATCTATGCCTCGTCTGTATGTATCACTCCCCCCAAGGTCTCCCCAAGACTTCCCCTCATGACGTTTTTCCTTCCCGAAGTGGAAGCTCTCATTGGTAAGTGTCTAGTGATGTTTACACCTTATCAACTATCTATCTTCTTTCCTTTTCTTTGTTGCTCCATCTTTTTACCATTTCTGCATTACCCCTCTACCATAGTGTTCCTTAACCATATCTCTTCCTTGTCTTTGTCCTCTTTTAACTATTGTTGAGCTACCTTCTTCTTTTCTACCCCTGTTATAGACCCAATAACCCCAAACTCCCAAAATACCAAATCCTCAATCCCCTCTCTGTACTCTCGTCCATCTTATTTCTAGCTCAGTTTTCCCTATTTTCTTTACTTTTCCTGTAGCTCTCACTATCTCCTCCTATTATGGAGAAAGATCTAGAAGTTGATTCTCATCCTACCCATCAGCCACGAATCTCTCTCTATTCAGACCCCTCCACCTCAAAGACGATAGAAAAATTCTGCCTAGTGGGCTGATTTTTCACAGATACTACCCTAAATAAGCAAGGGGTTTGTAATGTGCTACAAAGTTTTTGGAAGACATCTAGAGGGTTTTTCATTATCTATTGGGAGAGAAATACCTATATGTTTATGTTCAAAGATGAGGAGGATAGAGACAAGATTTTAAATGAAGGTCCATGGTCCGTTTCAAGAGCATTGCTGGTTCTGAAGGTATACCAACCACAGTATATCATTGGAGATTTTGATTTCCACTAAGTCGAATTCTTGGTTCAAATCTGGGGCTCACCCCTTGATATGATGACGAAAAATAATGCGTGGAGAGTAGGAATGATTATTGGTGAGCCCACCCAACTCGAGGAATTTGAGGGGAAGTTCAAATTTAGCGGAGCTTTCTGAGGGAAAAATGCATGATTAACTTGAATGAACCTTTGAAAAAGGGTTTTTTCTTGACTCGGGACAATTAGGATGATATCTGGATTAGATTGAAATATGAAAAGATTGTTTGATTTTTGTTACCAATGTGGTCGGATTGGACACTCTCAAAGTCATTGTAAGGACAGGAGGGCGTCTAGGTCCAATGGCCACTTTGGGCCGAAGTTACTAGTGCAATCCACTCAACCTGGGCTTCTTCAGAGAAACTTAGTTCTTAAGAGAACGCAAGACATCGGAGAAGAAGGATAAGCTTAAAGGCAT